CATTACGTGAAGTCTAGTGCGCGTGCGCATTTGCAGTGCGCTCTGCCTGATCACTGCATGATTCAGTCTATTAAAATACATTCAGAATGATCACAAATTCAAGACATGGGGGCAGAAAATGTGTATATTTATAATCAAGTTCACATAGAAGAGTGCCTTTTTTTCTCCAAAAATTACCATATACAAATGTGATATTGATTTTTACAACAGTTCAATAAACTAGAAGTTTTATTAAGAGACTTACGTTTTAGACACCATATTGCCTGTTTTCGCCAACAAAAATAATTTCAAACAAAGCCACAGCGCTGTTTTGCGTCTCTGAGTAACAGGAAGGTGTTTTGTTCCTGAATGAATCAACCGTTTAAATGATTCGGTTCAGTCGCAATTACTCACTTATTAACAGTGACTTACTGCCACCTACTGGCGGTTTTAATTTCACATTAAAAGTATCTTTTCATTTTTTTAATTATTTCAAATATCAGTATTCAATGTTTTATGTTTAATATATCAAAACATTATTTATGCATTTGTAACTGCAGGTTAAATGCACTCATGCTCTGCATTAAACAGTGTGTAAACACATCTAAATGCCACTTCAGGTGCAGCTTATGTCTGGATTGCAAAGCCCTGGAGGGCTACAGCATCACCGATAACAGTGCCGCGTCTATGCTGCAGGTGTTTGATCTGCGGCGAATCCTCACCACCTACTACGTTAAGGTCAGCAGTCAAATTTTCCAATCCTGTTCCAAACTGCTATTTTGATAACTGGCTACGCGAGATTAAAAAAATAAAAATAATAATGTCCTGAAATTTTTAAAAATAATTTATTTATTATTTCTGTTTATATGTTTGTAGGGCATCATTTACTATGTCATTGCATCTCCTAAACTGGAGGAGTGGCTGGCGAACGAAGCCCTTCTTGAGGGCTTGAAGAACTGCGGAGAGCGAAACTATGTTGACCTAGATCCGACTTTTAACCCCAATATTGATGAAGACTATGACCACAGACTGGCTGGAATCTCCAGAGACAGTTTCTGCTCTGTCTACCTCAGCTGGATCCAGTACTGCAACTCACAGAGAGAGAAGGTAAACTCGTGCTCAGCCACACAACATGTCTGATGAATATGTTAAAGCTGATGCGTTCAAAATTAATCTAAACTACCATTTAAAAATTGGGGGTAAGTATGATTTTTTAAAAATGTTTTTTAACAAAATAAGTTTTTTTATACTCGCCAAAACTGCATTTATGTGATAAAAAAGTACAATACAAACAGTAATACTGTAAAATATTATTGCAATTTAAAGTATGTTTTCTATTTTAATATAATTAATAATGTTATTTATTCCTGTGATGCAAAGCTGAATTTTCAGCAGTCATTACTCCAGTCTTCAGTGTCACATGATCCTTCAGAAATCATTCTAATATGCTGATTTGGAGCTCAAGAAACATTTTATTTGTGCTGCTTAATATTTTTTGTGGAAACCATGATACGTTTTTAAGGATTTTTAGGATTTATTTATCATTAGAAAGTTTGAAAGAACAGCATTTAATTGTCTTAGTAGTAGTAGTAGTAGTAGTTTAAAAAAAATGTCTCTTGTCATTTAATGCATATTGTTGTATTAATTTCTCTTAGAAGCTGTAGTGTTTGTAAAAAAAAAAAAAACTTTTTACCTTCCTGCCATCTCTTTGTTTATTTCTTTCAGCCACTGGACAGTGAGAAAGACTCTGCGTTGGTTTTGCTGTGTTATGGTCTGTGTGTTTTGGGAAGAAGAGCTCTGGGAACTGCATCTCACCATATGTCCAGGTGGGGGAGCAAAATCCTTTACTCTGCTGGAGTTTTTCCATGAAGCTTGTTATGAAGACATTTTTTGTGGTTTGTTTGTTCTGATGGTGTGTGTTTGTGTTACAGTAATCTGGAGTCTTTCCTGTATGGGCTGCATGCCTTGTTTAAGGGAGATTTCCGGATCTCATCTGTAAGAGACGAATGGATCTTTACTGACATGGAACTGCTGAGGAAGGTTGTTGTCCCTGGAATTCGCATGTCTCTTAAACTGCACCAGGTGAGACACATTTGTGTGCGAGACTTAATGTCATCTGTTCTCTGTCACATCAAATGTGACTTTTATTATTTTATGCTTTTTGGGTATATTTTAACCAGATTTAAACTTGCTCTGCAGGATCACTTCACCTCCCCTGATGAGTATGAGGAATCATCGGTGTTGTTTGAGGCGATTTCTTCACACGAGCAGACACTGGTGATAGCTCACGAGGGCGACCCAGCCTGGCGCAGCGCTGTCCTGTCCAACTCTCCCTCTCTGCTCGCCCTCAGACACGTGTTGGACGAAGGGACCAATGAATACAAGATCATCATGCTTAACAGACGCTACCTGAGCTTCAGGGTCATAAAGGTGAGCGAGGACAAAAAGACGGGATCAAATGGAAGAAAGCGGACTGACAGGGTAAAGAACTTATTTTATTAGCATATAAATTATTTTTCATGTGTGCATGTTCTTAGGTGAATAAGGAGTGTGTGCGCGGCCTGTGGGCGGGACAGCAACAGGAATTGGTGTTTTTGCGGAACCGAAACCCGGAGCGTGGAAGTATCCAGAATGCCAAGCAAGCACTACGCAATATGATCAACTCTTCATGCGACCAGCCAATCGGATATCCCATCTATGTCTCGCCATTGACAACATCTTACTGTAATACACACCCCCAGTTGGGACACATACTGGGAGGACCGATCAGCATCGCCAACATACGAAACTTTATCGTCAACACGTGGCACAGGTTTGTGTGTGTGGTTGAATGAATGAGAATTTACATGTTTTGATTATAATAATAATGACGCTCATCTTTCTCACTGCAGACTGCGTAAGGGTTGCGGCGCTGGCTGTAACAGTGGCGGGAATGTTGAAGATTGTGATGCGGGTGGCTTGTCATGTGGCAGTGGGAATTCTGGGAATTCTGGGACAGCAGCGAGTGATTCCCAGCACAGCTCAGGACCCACAGTGCTGCACTCTTACACGCCTCATTCTCTGGGTAAACACACCGTCAGTGCTAAGACATCACTTACTGGTTGAACATACGTTTACTGTGTAATTTGCATATAAATATGATGTATTTTGTATTGTAATGAGGTCTTACCTGGTTAATATTTGCAGATACTTTATCAGAGTTTTTAGGTTTAACATGACTCTTTATGGGTATAATATATGTTTATTGCCAAATTCTCTGCAACAGTAGAACAAAACTAGAAAAGTTCATCAAGACAAGCATTGCATGTTGGCATGACAAAATGTTGTGAAAAGTTGATTTTGAAGTTTATTTAGGCCTAATTTAAATCTTGTAGGACAGACATGTAGATGGATGAATGGATGGGTAAAAAGATAGAAAGATGGATGGATAGATAGATAGATAGATAGATAGATGGATAGATGCGTGGATGATGAATAGACTGATGGATAGATGGATGAAAAGATAGATAAATGGACTGAAGGATAGAATGATGGATGGATAAATAATAAATAAGTAAATAATATAAATAAATGGATGGATGATAGATAAAAAGATGAATGGATGGATGTATAGAATAAAAAGATAAATAGATGGATGATAGATTAAAAGATCGATAAGCAGAGGGAGGTGTGGATGGACTGATGGATAGATAAATAGATTAATGGAGAGACTGATGGATGGATGCATGGATAAAAATGTAGTTAAACAGATGAAAGGATGATGGATAGATTAAAAGATAGATGAATGGATGGATAGATAAATGGATTGAAAGATAGATAAAAAGAGATAGATGATGATAGATTTAAAAAATAGATACATGGACGGATAGATAAAATGGATGGATAGATGAACAAATAGATAGATAAAGAGATAAACAGATGGATGGATAAACTGAAGGATATTTAGATAGATGAACAGATGGATATGGATACATAAAAACAGAGATAAACGGATGGATGAATTGATAGATAGATAGATAGATAGATAAGAAAGTACCCTACAGTCTCTCTCTATCTCTTCAGGTACGAGTCAGAGTTCTCAGTCAGTGCAGTCTGGTTTGGTTCGTCAGTCTCCTGCTCGTGCGTCTGTCGTCAGTCAGTCGTCCTCGCTCGCCAGCCTGCTGGGAAACGAAGCCTTAGGGCTGGGGACGGACAACCATCCTCACCCCCACCATCATCTTCACTACATCCACCATCATCATCACAATCCCTCGCTCTCCTGTCTGAGAAGGGACGACATCTCCTACAGGGTGCAGGTGAGTGTCTGGCTTTCTCGTAATTTGATCACAGATCACAGATCTTAATTTTGTGAAATTTGTTATAATAATGAAGCATATGCATTTGTGTAGATTGTGGATGTGAGTCAGGTGTTGGATGTAATGAATCATCCCAAGAGGAAGGAGCTGGCGTGGCCAGATGAGAGCATGAGACTGAGATCTGGACGCAACTTTTGGAGGGACTGGAGTCCCCTAGAAGGCATGGAGGGTCACGTGAGTGCATCACATTTAACTGAAACTTTTAAAAATCATTTTTGTAATTGAAATGAAGTAAAATTATTGTAATTGAAATAAAATATAAATATCAAATGAAACCCTAAAAAAGATCAAATTAGAAATGTTGTCTTGGCATCTAACTAAAATAAGTTAATTTAAGTTGGAGTACTACAATTACTAGGACAGAATTAAAAATAAATTAAAGCTAAATACAAATATGTTTTTTTTTTTAAAAGAAACCTAAAACAGCACAGTCCCCATAGACAAATGTAATATATGTACATATATACATTATATATCATGCTGATATAGAGCCGGTATCGCTCTCGTACTCGAGTGATATTGCTCATATAGCAACCATATATCAGTAATACATTTTATATTATATATGCTTTATTAAAACAACATACATACAAAAATCTGTAGTTTATATGTTTTTGTAATAAATGTTTTAAATGCATTTATTACAAAATTATACTATAAACAGATTTTTGTATATATATGTTGTTTTAATAAAGCTGCATATATAAATAAAACATATATTACCGTGATATTATGTATCATATTACATTTCTGTATGGGTCACACACATTTGGCTGCATCATTCCCCGGAATGATTAAGGATGTCATTATATGTCTCGGTAGTTTTCCTGAGCCCATTTTAGTTGGAGATTCACGGGACAGATGATTTTCAAAATGCATGATAATTTAATAATCTGGTTCTATTTTGATCATTATTTGTTGGTTGAGTCAGATGAAACCTATCAAAGAACATATTCACAGTCCAGGTCATATTTCACACCGAAATAAAAAGAAAAATAGGAAAATACTTTTTTTTTTATTATAGAACTTTTTATATATTTTTAAATGACAGTTGAGAATTTTTCACCCAAATTCACCCTATATCCTAATTTCCCACTGCTCACTCTCTCTCCATAGGTGGTTCATCGTTGGGTGCCTTGCAGTCGTGATCCGGTTAGTCGGTCTCACATTGATAAGACCATCCTGCTGGTCCAGGTGGATGATAAATTGGTTCCCATTATAGAGACGGGAGTGATTGAACTGGGGGCAGAAGTGTGAGGATGCACTCGTCTAATGTCAGGCCAGAGGAAGAATGAGGCCACACTCACTTCCAGCTGCTGATCAGGGCGCAGGAAGCCAGGGAATCTGCAAATGGAGAACATACACACTCACACATGCTGCAAGAAGCACATTTGCTCAAATCTGGACAGAAAGCTGCCTTGCTCTGTGTTCCTCAGATATGCTGCATGAGAGATCAGCTCCTGTAAACTCTTCTCTCTTTCTCTCTCCTTTACGAGCATCTGCAGTTTCGTTCTGTTTTTTAGGTTCTATGCATCTCATCAGCTGTCTGTAAACACATGCAAACTCACAGGGAACACTACAACCGAGCTTGATGTACACGCAGAGAAGAGTTTTTTATTACAGCTATAGTTAAGTTTTATTTTGTATTTCTGCCAAATTAAGTCAGGTGCACAGTGCTGCCCTGGACATGCAGTGAATCATGTGACAGACTGTGTTTTACTAGCTGCCAAGACAGATGATCACGGTGAGGATGATGATGATGATAAAAAGGAAGCAGGTGCTTCTGATACAGAGCATCCTTACTCTTCGTCCTCGTTCATTTTGTTGAGGATCCATTTGATAACAGAGAGGTGTTATGAGAAACTTTAACTTGCACTATGATTTGTTTTGTTTTTGATTTGCAGCTGTGCACTACTTTCTAAGATCAGACATTATTTATTCCTTCACGGTTTGAATCGCCATGGTTACCGATGCCTTTGGAATGCAAAATGCGAAATCATTGACATATTCGTTTCTGCCGTTTTGACAGTTTTTCTTTAGCTTGAGGACCGAAGTGGTTTTTTTAACCACATGTAGTTATGTATGAATATATAAATGTGTCTGTAAAAAGATTTGGCTTTGGTGCACTACTTTCTAAGATCAGACATTATTTATTCCTTCACGGTTTGAATCGCCATGGTTACCGATGCCTTTGGAATGCAAAATGCGAAATCATTGACATATTCGTTTCTGCCGTTTTGACAGTTTTTCTTTAGCTTGAGGACCGAAGTGGTTTTTTTTAACCACATGTAGTTATGTATGAATATATAAATGTGTCTGTAAAAAGATTTGGCTTTGAATATTTATTACTGTATTTACATTTTGTTATATTGTTTTTCATTTACAGGACAAATAAAGACAATGCATAAATATTATTTATTCCTGCTCCCGAGTGACTGATGGTGTTCTTTTATGAGAAGGATGAAATGAAGTGCATCTAGGGCATGAACTCATATTCATGTGATTTGGGGACGAAGGTTGCTGCCCTTTCAAATAGCCATGAGACGTCATGAGACGACACAAACCACTGACTGGTTAACAAGGAAATGTTTTTATACTGATACTGAAGTGCTGTTATTCATTGCTTTGGCTGTGATCACTGGCATAATATGTATATCGGTACAATGTCTTTAAGATAAAGAAAAGCACTAAATAAATAAAGCTGATATCTTAAAATAGAAGAAAAAAATAAAGAGCTTTTGGGAACATGTTACTTCTCACATATTGTGCTAAACCTGTTTAACTGCTGTCCTGTTATACTTAGGTACTCTCATATTGACAGAAGGAAACATTTGAATTTCCTCAGTAATGTCATAATATAACAAACTATAGACAAGTCCTGATTGTGGAGTAGCGTTTTCTTCTTGATATTTACTTTTTCTTTATTGGATATTGGTAACGTACATTATATATAACTAAGAAGCATTATTAAAAATACTTTTTTTTAAAACAGCAACATTAGTTAATAGATATTTAAATAGTTATCGATGTCATGAAGCTTTGATAAATGTTTATATATTTGACAAAGTGTGTTTGTTGGGTGACAAACTTTGTGATTGTTATGGAGGAATGACTTGAATTGAGACGTGTATGAGGTGATTTGGTAGTGTTTGTGCATTTTGGAAGTGTAGTTTACTGCTGTGCCAAGCTGAAATATGGCAAGGAGAACCGAGTTTAGAATTTAGAAAAAGTGAAAGTATTAGGAGATTGTAATGAAAGTTATTAGAAATTCATGTTCAAAATATTAGTTTTGTCAGCTTTTCTTGAGCAAAACATGCTAGGTGATGTAATTTTTTTCTTATGTTCTTAAAATAGCTTAGACTATCATGGAGTCTCTGATAATAGGAATCAGAGATCATATATGAAAATCTATAAAAATTTTGAGGGGACTTTTTGAGGAAAAAGCTTGCATGTGGCTATCAACAGACATGTACACCTGCTGAAGAGTTTACAGTGAATTCTAATATTAGAGGGACTTTAATACTTGTGTAATAAATTAATGCTAAGATAAAACGCCCATTTGGTGTCAAAGGTTTCACAGTGATCTGTGAGTTCCAGAACCGAGAGGTTCTTGTCATCCATGTTAAATCTAGCATTATTAACGATAATTTTTTTAGAAAATAGAGTTTTACAGGTGTAATTAATAATTAAATTATTGTCTCAATAAGCTTGCCTAAAAATAGAGAATCAGTATTAGTAAATTACGTGAGAAGCTGCAGAAGGAATTTACCAGTATTAGCTACAGATCATTATAGACGGATCTGATGGCTGCTTACAGATATATCAACACATGCTCTGTTCCTGATTTATATTACACCTGTAAAAACAACACAGGTGAGACCAGCCCAGCTATAAAAATATGCGTGGGTGCAGTCATATGACAAACGGATGACCTGATCATGTGCTCGATTCTATTCTGCCCAGATAGTAAAAAAAAAAAAAAAGAAGGGCAGGTATCTATGATGCTCAGCAAGAAATGATTAATAAACTTTTTCTAACCAATTATTAAATCCCCTAAAAGAGCCGAGGCATTTCCCCTGAACTTTCATAACGGTTAGACTTTCCTTGTCAAGTGGCAGACCACTTCAATGCATTACTCTACTTCTATACTTCTGAAAAGCATCCTCTCTTTTTGTTTTGTTTTCAGTCAACTCGTTGCACATGACCGACTAGTCAGGCGGTCAGTTGAGGCTCCGCCCAGGTGTGAAAGGTGATTGGATGCTGCACTGAGGCGTGTTGAGCTGATTGGATGGCGCATGGAGTCCGTTTGCGCTGATTGGCTGCTACACATGCGTCCTCGTAGCGCTGTTTGTAATAAAGCGTCTCGTAGCTCCAGTACAGGCAGCTCGGGCAGCGCGTACAGAACAGGTAAGGGCAAAGAAAATACTTTTATTTTTATTTTGTAATAATCCTGCTTATTTTGTTTGGTTGTGGTTTGTATAATTAATCAACTCCAGGGTAAATGCGGTCTTCAGCTAACAGGAGTACAGTTTAAATCCCCCTATGACCTGTTGTTTTTATTGTAATCTGATGTCCTTTTATGTTTATAGGATGATTACGAGACCACTTACAAAAATATACCATAGTAAACAGTCATTTTTAAAGTTTTTAACAGTCATTTATTACCACAATTAAATGTAGCATTTGATACCATTATCATCTAAAAATGAGACATTTAACAAAATGATATATTTTTTCTGTTTGAAGGATATTTATTATGGTTTTATAGTAGTAACAATAGCTGTATGAATTAACTACGGTTGATTTTTGTAAATATGAAATGTTCAAAGTAATGGGAAGCTTTTGATAAAAATAACTCAAAAGAATACCTATATTTTTAACACTTCATATTTTATCTCTGCCTTACTGTAAACAGACTTTATATAGGACGTGATAAAGGCAACACTGCTTTATTTGCATAACTATAAAGGCTTAGTAAAAAAAAGTATAAAAAAGTGTAATGGGTATTTGCAATATACCCATATTATAATATACATGTATATTATATTATTAGCAAAATGAAAGTCATCAAATTAAGTACTTTTTGTAGTATGACAAATACAAGTTTACAATCTTTAAACTTCTAATAGCATGCATGGTGTTTTTCTCTGATTATTTTGCATCTCTGTTCCCGGTAGATTGCGAAGATGAGCCCACAGACAGTAGCAGTTTTAGGTCTTGCCCTGAGCCTGGGGCTGGTAGTGAGTGGTTTTCCTGCCGAGCAGCCAGAAAATGGGAAGCACTGGGTCGTCATTGTGGCTGGTTCGAATGGCTGGTACAATTACAGACACCAGGTGAGTGTGGAACTGATCTTTGAGGTGGAGAAAGTACATGGGTTTTTTCCAAACTGTTAGTCAGTTGTCATATCTGAAGTATTTATTCTGTTGTATTCATGTTTGTGTATAGGCCGACGTGTGCCATGCGTACCAGATTGTCCATAAGAACGGAATTCCCGATGAGCAGATTGTGGTGATGATGTATGACGATCTTGCTCAGAGCTCTGAGTGAGTATGACTTCTATTATTTAAAGGGGTGGTTGACTGGGTTTTTTTGTAGGCATTAAACTGACAGAATTTTAAAAGACGATATCTCCGTTTGCATTGAACTTTCAGCGCTTCAACTTTGCAGATATTGTTTATGCTCAAACAGCAACATTACACACTAACTAACTTAAAAAAGTGAAATCGCAATCAACCACCCCTTTAAACAAACTAGTATAGTGTAGTGGATCTCAACCTTTTTGACTCCAGTTTGTCAAAAACAATATTCAAAACTTAAATGGATCTCTTGTACTTCTGTTTTAATTAAAATCAATAAACTAAAAAAAGTTATGTCAGTTTGATCTTGTACATCTTCATTTTAGTGTTCTTTTAGCATGTTGAGGGTTTAATTTTAAGTATATTAACAATTTACAGTAAATAATTTTAAGATTTATTGAACCCCCCTTGGAAGTTTGCTGACCATGGGCTTTGGTTGAGAACCACTGGTATAGTGAGATTTGGTCTGGTAAACCAAGAGATACTGGATCAAGCCTAGTAAGAAATTATTCATGACCTGGAGTAACTTTGCTCAAATGCAATAGTGGTAGAAGAACAAGCACTTTACCCTCATTGCCTCAGACTGTAGAAAATGTGCTGTTAGCTGTTTCAGATATTTAAAAAGCAATATCTGGGTAATTTCTCACAATCACCAATATGAGCACTTCCCCTAAATCGTTTTGGGAAAGTGTTGACTTGCAAAAGCAGACAAATTATTTAGCTCCACCACATGCATGGACGCACACACGCACACAGAAACAAAGCTTTGAGTCAGTTCCTTTGCAGAAGTCACACGTATCTAATTTAACCACCAAGACTTAGTCTGCCAACAGGAAAAATGCATGAATTGTAACCTGTCAGGTTTTTCTCTCATGGTCGTGATAGTGGCTGGCCTTTACAATGTTTGTGTCATGAATGTATATGGAGTTTATGCTTCTTTTTAGAGTCCATAAACCTAATGGAGCATATGTCTATATAAGAGTATAATATTAATATAATCCTAATGTAAAATCTATATTTGGACCATATATATATATACACACACACCTTTTAACCTTTAGGCCTATATTTTTATTGGAAGTTGCACAGCTGTGACAGTTATTGCTTTAGTGGCTTTTTTATGAATTCATATGTAGGTCAGGTGTTGCGGCTGAATTATACAATGAAAGAAAGCAATGTGTTATCTGATAGTTGGCTTAGTCACATGTTTTAGGGGTTAAATTTTAACCTGTGTTTGATAAGTTGAGAAGAAAGAGGTATTTTTATTATTGTTTGTGGTCTTTTTATATTTATGCTTTTAAGAATCAATTTGCCAGTTTTGCTCATTAAAAACCAAAAGCCTTTTTCTGTACAGAGGTTCATATGACCATTTTTTTGTGTTTGTCCAGTAACCCTACTCCAGGAGTGATCATAAACAGACCCAATGGATCAGATGTTTACAAAGGAGTGCTGAAGGACTACACTGGTGATGTGAGTCAATACGTGCACCTCTGAATCTGAGATTTGAAGTAGTAAGTGGTGTGTTTGCCATCC